ACACAAGAAAGTCTACATGTGGTTACTTGTATCTTTTAGCTGAAGGAGCTATATCATGGAAAAGTGTGAAGCAGACTGTAATAGTTGCGTCCACTAAGGAAGCTGACTTTGTGGCATGCTTTGAAGCCACGATTCAGGCTAAATGGCTACGAAACTTTATTTCAGGGCTTGGATTGGTCGACAATATTGAAAAGCCGCTGAAAATTTATTGTGATAATTCCGCAGCAGTCTTCTTTTCTAAAAACGACAAGTATTCCATAGGTGCTAAACATATGGAATTAAAGTACTTTGCCGTTAAAGAAGAGGTTCAGAAACAAAGAGTGTCTATAGAGCATATTAGCACCGATCTTATGATAGCTGATCCCTTGAGGAAGGGATTACCGCCCAAGACATTTACTGGTCATGTATGTAGAATGGGCATTATGTCAGGTAATGAATGATGATAATTATTGTTATGTATTAAGTGTTGACACACTGAGCTCATTGATGAATATATGTTTCTGATATTGTCTTGTTTTCAATTTATGTATGCATGCAAGTATATGTGATGATATTGAAAATGTTTATGGTCCATAATGGAGACATTACTGTTGGACATAATGTGTACTTCCTATTAAAGTATCATGTTAGGAAGAAGAGTCAATATAGTAATACATGGAAGGGACTATGCCGACTTGACAGCATACAACCGCCATGACTCATGTTGATTTTATTTCTAATAATGAATTATGATGACGTCAATGTATGGAACCTTTAGCCTAGTAAATGCGCATTACAGTGAATGTTAATTAAATCATGAAGGGACACCTTATGACATGAGCCAAGTGGAAGAATGTAAAACTATTTGTGTCTCATATGTAACGTGTGTCAAATGATTTAATTAATAATAAAATAGGCTTTATGGTAATTGACGTTTCGCATTAATGGTAATTGACGTTTTGACGTTTCGCATTAATGGGAAGTTACAGGGAGTACCGGACATTGTGTATTGAGCACAAATACCACGCTTTTCCAGAAATTTAGCAAATGGTCCCGGATGTTGTCCACTTTCGTCATACCTTCTTGCAGCAAATATAATTTCAACTTCATTAATATAAATCTCCAAAGCATTTGCAGCTTGAGACTTATCATGCAGCAAATAGACATAACCATAATGTGAATAATCATCAATGAAAGTGATAAAATATTTTTCTTTATTGAAGGCATTAACATCAAACGGACCACATACATCAGTGTGTATAATTTCAAGAAGCTGAGTGCTCCTTGTGGCTCCTTTCTTTGTGTATTTTGTTTGTTTTCCTTTAATACAATCCACACAAACATTCAAATCAGTAAAGTCTAAATCCGGAAGGATTTCATTATTTACTAATCTTTTCATCCTTTCTTTGGAAATATGTCCCAAACGTTTGTGCCACAAGTAAGCGGAACACTCATTAATTAAGGTACGTTTAGTACCAACATTATGATGCAGAGTCATAAGTGTTTCAGCATAAAGATTATCAAGACAATTTATATAATCCATCACATAAAGTACCATTACCAATCAAATGATTGTGCTTGTACAAACTGAAACTACCACTACCAAATTTAAAAGAGTATCCAGCAACATCAAGTTTGGAAATTGAAACTTAATTCCTAGATATACTAGGGACATACAAAGTTTCACATAAGTCCAAATGATATCCACTGTCGAGAATTAAACGATACGTCCCAACAGCTTCCACCGGAACTTTCACTCTATTGCCCATAAAGACAAACTTTTCATTTGGCCTTGTGGATTTTAGAAGAAGAGGCCTCATTCACTTTAAGGGGTCCTCCTCCTCCTCCTTTCTTCTCATGCATCTTACCTTTATACTTTTCAGCTGCTTGATGCTTTACATAATTGACAGAATGATTTTAATAACATGCTCAATGATTTTAACTTTGCCGCAATGCTTGTCATTTCAATAACATGCTCATGCATAGTACGCGAACCATCAAACTTCATGGTGGTCAGTGTACTCATAATTGTCCCAACAAGAGACTTATCAGCGGTTTGGGAGCGCTCTTCCACAAGTTCATCATTTCAATGGTACTTTAAGTTTGATGCTTTGAGTCATACATGTCACATACTGACATACTTCACAGATTCAACTATACTAACTTCAATGCATAGATTCAACTATACTAACTTTAATGCATATTAATGTTCGCCTTTGGGGATCCATTAACATACAACATTAACTATAATGATGCTATATAAATTTCACATAATTTGGCAATGATGCATACCCCTATCATAATTATTTGTCATCTTTGGATGTCCAAATGTGAGGAAATATGCCAACAATACCAACATCCATGTTCATTTTATAAAACAAATAATCAACCTTTGGGTTGATCCCCAACTGTTCTATAATAATGAACTTCAATATACCATAACTATAATAATTATATCATACTATTCATAGCATCACAGTCATGGTAATTGAAATAAAATTCATAATATTTGAAATTAAAATAACTCTTCAAGATTTGGCCACTTTGGTGACTAACAAATCTATCATAATTTAATTTCCAAAACTTTAATATTTCATAAACAATAATAGGATTAAATTTTCATATTCAATTTTAATCCAACCACATCATATAATCATTCACATTCACGGTTTAGAAGGAAAAAATAAAAATAAAAAATTCATACAGTACCTAAAAGCCGATTCAATCAGTAGCTAAAACTATTATGGGTCTTCTTATTATACTTTAATGAAACCCACCGATTGACTTTTAAAATTAATGAGCAACAATACTGTATGCATATATATCGATTATTGACAAGTTGATAATACAAGCCAATTCAATCTCTTTGCATACAGTATGCATTATTTTTCAAATACAAATCGAATGACAATCTTTCCAACTTTGTCCTTTTGTGAATACAAAGTCAATTTGAATTTTTCCTTCAAAACACACGATTCTTTTCAAAATCAAATGTGGACACAAATGGCAGTGATTCATAAAACCAAATTGAAAACCGAATGGCTATCGAGAAATACCTTTAAGCATGATGATCGGAAATTTTCAATGATGATCGTGAATTTTATTTTCAAAAACCCTAACTTTTCATGAATCAGAAATTCATTCATAATTATTTATGGAAAAACACAAATTCTTAAACACATGCTCTGATACCACATGTAAGCAATTTAATCAATAAATCAGTAATTCATGATTCATGTTCAACAGTAATCAATCAAGAACATGACATAGGATCTTTAGAATTCATGAGTTTCACATAAACATACCTTTGTCCATAATCGCGGAAGATCTTTAACAGTAGAATGCTTTCTCTAAGCCTTGACCCTTTCACCGTTCTTGTATCTTCTTTGATAGGGATAAGATACAACTTTTCTAGACAGACTCAGAAGGACGTTTGTTTTCTATCAGATACCCTTATTTTAAAACTGACCATATAAACTATTATATAACTGGCCTATCACAGTTATTTCTAATTAACTTCCCTTAATGCGAAACGTCAAAACGTCAATTACCATTAATGCGAAACGTTACCATAATGCAAAACGTTAAAACGTCAATTATCATTAATGCGAAACGTTACCATAATGCAAAACGTTAAAACGTCAATTATCATTAATGCGAAACGTCAATTACCTTAAAGCCTCTTTTATTATTAATCAAACCAATTGACACACATCACACATGAGACAAAAATAGTTTTACACCATGTACGGTGAATCCCCCTTGTTGAACTTATGTTTATACCTCTATCTCTCTATATCATTGTTACATGGAAATACGACATCCGAAGAAAGAAACGGTGTTGGATCCTTTACTTAAACAATTTATTATCAAACCCTATTTTTTATTGACAGGTATTAATTGAGCTAAAAAGTGCTTTGACAAATATTTTTTACATGATTGTTTTTGAATTGGAGTAGTGGTAAGATTGTTCCTTATAATGGATAGACATATTAAGAATTAAAAAAAAAAAAACTAAAATGCATACCAAAAAAAAAAAACTAAAATAATATTATTTTATAATTTAAAATTACATAAGTAATAATTTTATTTTACTTAAAATAAATAATATGATAGTCACGTAGACCAACTTATAAACTTATAAGTTAGGTATTTTAAAGTAGGCATAAGACCTAATTTTTTAAATAGGCTTTTTTAGGGCTAGACTTATTCTACTTTACTACACATACTAAATAAGTTAGGGGTATCAATTAGGAGTGTCAAAATGAGTCAACACGTACGACACGACACAAAGTTGACACGACATGAATACAGGAGACACGAACACGAAAAGAATTTTTTTTTCATGTCAAAATCTTCAACACGAACACGACATGAATTTTTGGCGAGTTGACACGACACGACACGAATGACACGCAAACTAAGAGTCAAAATAGTAATTGACCAAAAAAATAAAAAAGAAATCTAAAAAAGTTTAAAAAATAATAATAAAATATATTTGAAAAAAATATGGGTTGACACAAATTTGACATGACATGACAAATTTTTTACGGGTCATTTTTTCCAACACGAACACGGCATGAATTTTATTATGGATCAATCCGAACACAGAATTTGAAATTTTATGTCGTGTCACGGGTCGACTCGCGTGTCATAACTTGTTTTAACACCCCTAGTACCAATTCGGGTTGATACGACATAATGTTAATTTAACACAAACACAACACGAATTTGAAAATGAAACAAAATATTTGAAATGAACAAAACTCATCTACTTTACTAGTTGACACGACACAACATGAATAACATCTATGAAGACTAAAACAGGTGAGTTCTATTTGCAGGTTGACACATAACACTACATAAATTTTTTCGTGTTATTTTTTGGCAACACAAACACGACACAAATTTGAAAATAATTAATTATATTCCTTTAGGTTTGAGCACTATTTATGGTTTTTTTTTATTATATAATAGTGATCATTTCCTATTGAAACTTATAGATACCTTTAGATATGGACATTATTTCTATTTTTTTGGTCAGATAGTTGTAACTTCAAAGAAGAATATACGTTACAGTTTCGCACCTCACAAAATTTTCTGGTTTCGTCGTTACACAGCAAACACAATAAAATCGCAAGTGTCCTATTAAGATCTGAAGAGTCATGTGGGATGCACTGTGTCTGACATGAGTGTTCCACTCCATATATGTCTGACATGGACAAGGTTCCCCTCGTGCTTCATAGTTGAAGAACAATCATCAAGCTTGACTAATTATATCTGCTTCTGATACAACCTTCTATAGATTTTTGCACCTTCAAGTTCTGCATGAATCTCTCTCTCAGTCCTTATCCCCATGGGGTTGCTTAACAACCATCCTTCACTGTCACACAACATAGCAGGGTTCAAAGCATCTATGTGTTTGAGTGCATCAACTTCATCAAACTGATTTCTCATGTCAAGTGCCATTTCAAGCACATCAGACTGTACAAACACCTGTCACAACACAACCACAAACGTGACTTTCAGCCAAAAGCTCCAGAAATAACCACAAACATGACACTATTACTTCCCTGCCTTAAGAAGAATCTATGCCAAGAAACATTCACCCAACATCATAAAGTCGTAGTTTGACTTCTAAAACAGATTGAAGATATGCCACCAACTTACTAGTTATCTGGCAATTCAAACCTTATGTCCCCTGCCATTAGGCTCAGGGTTCTGCAGGATTTGTGTTCAAATCCCACAAGGACTTGTCATGACATTTTTTCCTTTCCATGGAGCGACTCCTCTCCTATCACCTCCCAAGATCTCCTACTGTAAGTAAAGCAAAAATTACGAAATTTAAAGAAAAAATATTTTAAGATATTGGTACTTTCATAACGGCATCATTAATCTATCTCCAATACCAACACCTGTACGTTACGACATATCTTAGTCACAATGACAAGTGGTTTATGGCAGTAGAAGACATTACTCTTGACAATTTTCGCACGTATTAGTACATGCATTTAAGACATAGCAACCCTTGGATGTTTTTCAAGCATATTTCACAGAGATCTCTTGCAGATAAAATAACTATTTTATAAAGCATAGACCTTGATAATGCATCAAAGTAGATAGTTGGAAGAGATTAATTTAGTATTAGTTTGGTCTTGATTATCCGGTGATGCACATTTAAACCATGGACGATTATTATGATTGTGATAGGAACCCCACTAATGGTTTATCATAAGAATTGCCACAGGGAATTATTTAGGAAGGATGACTCGGCTAATAAAGCGAATATTCTAGAGGTGAAGTTGTTGGAAGGCTCCAATTCTGTTAGAAGTGATGAGTTGTCAAGGAGAGAAGGTGAAGTGGTTAAAAGGCAGCAGAGAAAGGAGGAGAGGCATCTTTGGGCATTTGGAACCTTGGGCACCTTAGGGTGATTTGGGAGAGCGCAGCTGCACCTGGGCTGTTCATTGTTTTCCTTTTCTTATGCAATTTATAGCTATTTTCATTGTAGTTGTTGAAATATCATAGATACAAGAGGAAATGATAGTAATCCTTGTTGTATTAAACTACACAACATTGGTGCTATTATATAGCAAACCAATTGAAGAATACAAAGAGACACACTCAATGTGGGACTTCTACACTATTAACACTAATACTCTTAACACTCCCCCTCAAGCTGTAGCATATAGATCATATGCTACAAACTTGATACATAAATAATACTCCCATTAGGAACCAAAAACAACAATGCTACATCAACGAAATGAAATGACTAAGTACAACAAATCAACTGGAATGACCATCAGTCTGAAGAGCTGATAAAGAGACAGTGCTGGAATGGACATCAGAGCATGGATGGTGCCGGAATTATCATCGGCAAAGACAACTGAGCTGACCAGGACATCAGCATCAAGATCCCTCTCAGACATTTCATTTAACAGTTGGTGAGCAGCCGTGGTTTCCCCATGACTATGCTACAAGCTTATTACAAGAAAGACCAAGTAACATAACATCAAAATAAATCTCCTAAATGAGAAACCAAAAATCAACAATGTGCTAAAAATGGCGTCGAAATGAACATCAACATGGAAGATGCCGGAATGATCATCGGCAAAGACAATTGTGCTGGAATGACCATCAGCAACATGGACGGTGCTCCCCCTCAAGAGGAACTTCTAAACAGTGCCGGAATTATCATCGGCAAAGACAATTGTGCTGGAATGACCATCAGCAACATGGACAGTGCTCCCCCTCAAGAGGAACTTTTAAACAGTGCCGGAATTATCATCGGTAAAGACAATTGTGCTGGAATGACCATCAGCAACATGGACAGTGCTCCCCCTCAAGAGGAACTTCGGTATCAGCGGAGACAACATCAGCAACTTGGACAGTGCTACCCCTCAAGATGGATGATGAATAGTATAAATACTCCATCTTGGGAAGAAAGAAGTTTTAAAAAAAAACAAAGCTTCGCGGAATCGGAAAAGTCGCCGGAGACGGCGGTGGGTCGTCGGAAAAGTCGTCGGAGACGGTGGTGGATCGCCGAAAAAGTCGCCGGAAAGTCATCGGAAAAGTCACCGGAAAAGTCGCCGGAGACGGCTGTCAACGGTGGTCGGTCAACAACAACGGTGGTCAACCCAACAACTTCCCAAGGATCATTCTTTTCTGATGTGACAGATCAGTCTAAGCTGCAGTCACAGAGCATACTAAGAAAAATCCGAAAAAGAAATAGCAACTGGAATCCCTCAAGGAGGGTGATATCTCTCTATAACCATATTGAAATTATGGAAAATAGAACTAAGTTAAACGGATTAAGATTCCTCTTGTTAGGCTCTAGATACCATGTTGAAATATCATAGATACAAGAGGAAATGATAGTAATCCTTGTTGTATTAAACTACACAACATTGGTGCTATTATATAGCAAACCAATTGAGGAATACAAAGAGACACACTCAATGTGGGACTTCTACACTATTAACACTAACACTCTTAACAGTAGTAGTTCTAGCTTCTGTATTTCGTTTCTGTCTCATTTTTTACTGTAATTGGTTTCTTCTTCAATATATATCATTTACTAGGCCAAAAGAGTGTTCTGTTCTCTTCTTTTAATCCTTACAGAATTTCAGTTCTTATCAGATTGGTATAAAGTTGTTATGATTTATTACTAGGTACCACCTTTGTAAATTAGTTTATATGCAGCTGTCATGTCATGCGACAGGTCCATTACCCACATACAACTGGATCCAAACTACCCAACCTCAATAGCTAGGAATCCAATGAAGAAAATGAATAATGTAAATAGATGACAAAAAAGGGAGAATAACTATGCCATAAGTCTCAAACAAAACTACAATGAAAATGATTAATCGAATTCCCATTGCATATCAACATTCCAGAGTCAGGACAAAGTTCCCAGCAGCAAAAAAGATGATAATGCAACCTTAATAGGAAGGTTGGGATACCGAAAGTCATATTACACTTACCAAATGACAACTTTCAAATAGAAAGTTTTGCTATCTTACTTTGCTCTTTCCCTACAATCCCTATATGTCAATGTAATATTATAAATAATCTCTAGCAAGCAGGTAGGAATGGACACTATTGGCTATTGGGTATAGAGCATCTTTGAGTATTGTGTTGTAAACTGAGGCTACGCCAGTGTACGGTAGAAATCCCTTGTAAGAGGATTACCTCTTGTATTCTTTCATTGTTAATTCAACAAACTTTCGATTCTTTTCTCTCATTTTCCTTTCCTTTCCTTATTCCACACCGTTTTACTGTAGTTCCTACCTATCAAGAATCCAGAGCTGTGTCAGTTATTCCATGTGTTATTACCACAGTAAAGACAAAGCACAACGGAAAATCCTCAAGCACATTGCCTATACTGTATTCAAACTGGAATGGTCAATTAGTATAACCATAAGTTGACTACTGTGCCGAATATTCTCTCATAGTTAACTTTCTCAAAACCTGATGATGTTCTTCTCCTTCATTCTTAGTTCCTTCAAAATCCATTAAAGGGTAACATATCCATTTCAACAATTATAGAAATGCTCATAACATCATATGCACCATCTTCATTCTTAATTTATTTTCTTGGAAGAAAAAGAGGAAGAGAGATAGGGTATGGAGCATAGCTCTCGTACAACAAATACCAAAAATTTCTCATTCATACCAATTCAAATAAGATGGCGCAAGAAGGAAATCTGACAGGATACTATTCACCAAAGCACTAGATGAACACATATACGAGATTTTAGATCAATTAAAAATATAGTAAAGCATGCTGCAAAAATACCTGTCCCCCAGGCATTAAATTATCTACAATAGCACCAACCAAAGGCTTCTGCAGAACTCTTCTTTTATGATGCCTTTTCTTGAAATGCGGGTCTGGACACTGCATGTGGGGGGCAAAATCATTTAACCAGATTAAAAGGCCTTTCATCGGAAAATCCTTAAGTAACAACAATGTAATAACAAGCCTTTAGCTCAGTGACACCAATTCTCGTCTTGCGGTGCTTGGTGAGGAGGGGGGGTGGGGGGGCTCAGTTACCCCTAAATGTGCTCCCTACTTCCCAAGGCCCCTAGTGGGGATCCCTCAGGTCCCTCGGCGGGGCCTACTGCTAAAAAAAATAAACAATGCAGATGACAGTTTACTGAAGGTAGATACTAATGTATATGTCTTAGAATTCCTAATATAAGGAGATAAACTCACCAAAACAGAAACTAACAACAAGGGCCCAGGATATGATTCTACCAACTGCTTGAAAGAAATTGTGGCATTTGCAAACAAGAAATGTCTGCATTTTAGCATAACAACAGTCATTATTCCAGTGTTGATAAAAATAAGCACATATATGTTTTACTTCACCATTTAAGTAAAGTTTAGGTTAGTACATGTTATCGAGAGCCAGATCTTTTACCCATAACTCAGCACGCTTGACTAGCTGCACATGGAAGTGTTGCATTATCATACAAGAAGATATCCCCCATATTTGAAGCTGAATGTGCCACAACAGCTAAGAAATCAAAATTAACTGGAAGGGAGCAATTATCAAGGGCATTTCAAACCAAAGGAGACAGAAAGAAAAAGGTTTCAATACCCTTTCCCGTATTTCCAATCCCAAATAATTTCTCACTTTAGGAGTTCTTTTAGCAAGCCACATAAGAAACCTGCCACTGCCTGACATTGTTTACAACAACAGATATGCTGGAACAAGTAAGTATACATAAATTTCCAAGTAGTGAAGTGAATATTTGATCCTGGTCCTAGAACTACTCCTTAATTGCATTATGATGCTAACAGAAATGAAATAAAAATAACTGGTGTATCAATTTCAACAAGATATTTTGGTTCCATAAATTAGAAGGGTTCAAGTCCAACCTCAGAAATATATTATGTAAGAAAAGAATTTTATCATTGTCAACTTTCTTATACATGATCCACTCGATTCCATAACAGACAGACTAACAGTCAACAATCAAGGAAAAAATGCATAAATAAATTTATCATCTGAATTCAGGTTACCACATCCAATATCCACCATGAGTGGCAATGCTGGGTCCGCAAAGACCTGGTTCCAGTCAGGTACTTGTGCAGGAACCTGTTCAGACAAGAGAATCACATTAGTGGAAAACAAAAGACTCCTTTAATGCATGGTTTCTGTTCCTGGTTCTCCTCATGACTTATCAATATACCATTCATTATAAATAAATAAACATATATAAATATATATGTATATATACATATATATGGCAGAATTTTTTTTTGACTCATGTGTAACATTAAGAAGTCTTACTCCTCATCTAAGTCATTAATTTTCATCCATATAATGTTGGAGGTTATGGATTTGAGAGAGAAGGGTTTAATTAAAGGCATCAAGTTTGGAATGCTCAATAGGGAATACTCAACAATATTACCTCCGGTTTAGAAAAATCCTATAAATAATGCAAGCTATTGGGCTTCCATTCATATGGGCTCAAATAACCATGTTTTCACCTATTGGGCTAGTATGTGAACATATTATTGGACTATATTATTAATATATCCAACATATAACTGTAGTAGTTTATCGAATTATATCTATTAATTAATTATTAATTCCAAATAAACTACAACCGTCAAATGGATGGAAAATCAACGACCAACATGGGGAGTAAAACTTAAAAAAAAAAAAAAATTGGTAATCAAAACTTTAAATTAATATACTAGAGTCAAAAGATCCTGACTATATATATATATATATATATATATATAAGAGGCAGGTTCCTTTGACACCTCATCTGAGAGCCGTTAGATCAAAAAATATCAATGACTCTGATTTGTAAGTATGTGATACCATTGATATTTTTTGATCTAACGACTATCAGATGAGGTGTCAAAAGATCCTGCCTCTATATATAAAGTTAAAATATATTGTTGGTACCTATAGTAGCACTCATTACCAATTTAGTCCCTATAAATCAACTTGTAATAACTCTAATATAGGGACTAAATTTAAAACTTTTTTTTTTCTTAAAGGACCAATTTAATTTAAAAATAATTGTTTGTCTAAAGACCAAAAATATATTTTATCCATGTGTATAATAAAACGAATATGAATATAGGAAATAATGGAACGAGAGAATTAGAATAGAGAAAGGAACATACAGAGAAAGAAGAGCTCAGTGGATTAACATGTTGCCTGATCCTGACATGACCCATATCCTGAAAATTTTGGATATACATCATAACACTAAATAATAATGATAATAGCAATAATAATAGAAAAAAAAAGACAAAAAAGGGTACCAAGTTGTAGGAGAGATTGAGGTCTTCATATTCCAATGCCACCAGCTGTGAGCTTCGAAGATTGGGTTGTTCTTGTTGTTGTTGGTGTTGGTGATCTTGTAGGGCTACTTGAGAAGAAGAAGAAGAAGAAGGAACGTGGCAGTTGGAACGGAACGGGAATGAGAGAGAAGAAGGGGAAGAGGGAATGGTGAGAAAGGGTGAAAGACGTAACATCATAGAAGTACTATAGGAGTTGTGGCTTTGTAATTTTAACAAACTGGAACAAGCCATTTATCGTTGCTCTTAAGTTCCCATTCACTTCAACTAGTTCTTTAAATTAGAACGGGTGAGACCTGCCCCGTTATTCCCAATGGTTGGGTTTCGGTCAAATAAATAAAAAGTTAGTATTTTATCAATAAGGAAAATTATTTAGTTAAAATTATTATTTTTAATTAATATTAAATTAAAAAAATTCTACTTTCTCTCACCATAATTTTTTTTTTTTTTTGTAAATATAATTTTTATTATATAACTAATACTTTATGTATGTTGCACCGACATTGACACGTCACACGAGACACGACACGACACTACGATGTGTTAATTCTAAAAAATGTTAAATTTTGACACGTTATGATACGTTTAGATATTAAATAATATTTTTGATTTATTAGTGTATATTATATTTAATATTCAATAATTTAACAAAAAAATAAACTAAACTTATAATACCCATTAATTTTATAAAAAAACATAAAATATTATAAATGTTCTGGGTTAGTTACTCTGGTACGGGTTGGAAGAACCCGGGATAACGGTACCCGGGTTATGGGGCAGTTGTCTCCTTTATTAGTCCAGGAGGTGGGTCTTGCCATGATGGCACGTCCCAGATAACTACTCATCCACGTCCAAGGTAACCACCTTCTCTCCACGTACAGTGCAACTATTCTAACTAGGAGTACAAATATATGGGTTAACATCCCAAGAAGGACAGTCACAATTAGAACAAACCAATATTAATGTTCATCCAGAACATTTGGCGCTGTCTGTGGGAAAGGTAAAACTATTCCTACGCATTTTCTTGAGTCATGGCAAGCAACCACCATGATGAGCGAGCGGGGGAGAACGAAGAAAACGGAGGCGAAGAAGATTCCTTTCGGTCCAGTGGAGGGAGTCGATCATTAGATACAATTGGAGAAACTTTAATTCAGTTGGTGGAGGAGATAAGGAACAGGCAACAGCAGGAAGGAGGAAGAGGGAGGCAATATTCAGAGGAGGGATTATCTGAGAGGAATAGACCACAAAGCTGGTATAGGTAGAGAGGTTATGTATCTCCCCTTTCTAGTTATATTCCGTTATCACCTCCACCTCAGACTGGGAATAGGAGGACAGAAGTTCGAAGAAAGCAAGTATCTCAGATATCCAGAAGCCTCTTAGAAAGGAGAAATTATCAAGGGGAAAGACGTAGAGTAAACCAAATGGGCAGGTAGAATCAGCCAATAAGATTTTGACAAATGGTTTGAAAAGAAGAGTAGAGGATTGTAAAGGAAGATGGGTAGAAGAGTTGGACAACGTGTTGTGGGGATACCGAACTTCAGTGCAGTCCAGCATTCAAGAAACCCCTTTTAAAATGACTTACGGATTTGATGCAATGCTTCCAGTAGAAGTCGGCGAGCCATCATGGAGAAGAAAGATAATATCTGAAGAAAAAGAAGAAAAGAATAGTGAAATGATGAAGATTGATTTGCAGCTGTTAGAAGAAGAGCGAGAGAAAGCAGCATTAGTGGAAATGGCGTCAAAGCAGCGAGCAGCAACTAGGTATAATCGGACGGTGGTGAAAAGAGAGTTTCAGGTTGGAGATTTGGTGCTCAGGCGGGCAGATGTGGAGAATAAAAATGCAAGTGATGGGAAGATGGCAGCTAATTGGGAAGGTCCATACCGGGTAACACTGACCACCAAGACGGGGGCATATCAGATAGAGCATTTAGATGGAAAACCAATTCCACGATATTGGAATGCTGCCAAGTTGAAAAGGTATTTCAGTTGAAGGATACAAGATTTAATGAGAAGTCGTTGGGCAAGTTATTAATATAGTTTAATTATGCATTGTAGTGCTAGGTCGTATTTTGTTATGTTTGAACTCGTGGTGTTCTTAAACTTGGAAGCATTTGAATTTATGATATGGATGATTGTTTAATTTTGATGATATGATGCGTTTAAGAGAGATAAAGTCCATTGCCGCCTTGATTGGCCTTTTGGGCACCCGTTCATTTCCTACTCGGAAGCAGGAAGACAAAGTCCCTTGCCGCCTTGATTGACCTCTTGGGCACCCGTTCAATTCCTACTCGGAAGCGGGAATATAAAGTCTTTTGCCGCCTTGATTGGCCTCTTGGGCACCCGTTCATTTTCTACTCGGAAGCGGGAAGACAAAGTCCTTTGCCGCCTTGATTGGCCTCTTGGGCACCCGTTCAATTCCTACTCAGAAGCGGGAAGACAAAGTCTCTTACCGCCTTGATTGGCCTCTTGGGCACCCGTTCAATTCCTACTCGGAAGCCGGAATATAAAGTCCCTTGCCGCCTTGATTGGCCTCTTGGGCACCCGTTCAATTCCTACTCAGAAGCGGGAATATAAAGTCCCTTGCCGCCTTGATTGGCCTCTTAGGCACCCGTTTATTTCCTACTCGGAAGCAGGAAGACAAAGTCCCTTGCCGCCTTGATTGGCCTCTTGGGCACCCCTTCAATTCCTACTCGGAAGCGGGAATATAAAGTCCCTTGCCGCCTTGATTGGCCTCTTGGGCACCCATTCAATTCCTACTCGGAAGCGGGAAGACAAAGTCCATTGCCGCCTTGATTAGCCTATTGGGCACCCGTTCAATTCCTACTCGGAAGCCGGAATATAAAGTCCCTTGCCGCCTTGATTAGCCTCTTGGGCACCCGTTCATTTCCTACTCGGAAGCGGGAAGACAAAGTCCCTTGCCGCCTTGATTGGCCTCTTGGGCACCCGTTCAATTCCTACTCGGAAGCGGGAATATAAAGTCCCTTGCCGCCTTGATTGGCCTCTTGGGCACCCGTTCAATTCATACCCAGAAGCGAGAAGATAAAGTCCCTGGCCGCTTTGATTGGCCCTCTGGGCACTCGTTTAACTCTTACTCGAAAGCGGGATGACATAATCTTTTTCTTTCTTTAAAAGCTTATGGTGAAATGTTAGTTAAGTGAAACATTAGTTAATCGTGTGATAATTTCAAATAATTGAGAAGTAACATCAATATGATGAACATAATATTCTTGTTAAAAATTAAGAAGTTGATAGCCAATCTTGACCCTTAATAGCCCAAATAGTAAAGCAAGTTAATGGGACAAAATACAAAATATAGAGTCATAACAAAACAGGAGAAATAAGACTGAATACAAAATAAGGTGGCATTCCACCCCTTCAAGTATCTTTTGGAGTATCCTCGGAAGTAGCATGATCAGACGCAGAGTTGGAGTGCATATAGTCAGAGGGGCACTCAGCAAGAACAGCAACAGAGCCTTTTTCATCGTGAGTACATAGCCGTCCGTCTTGGATGAAGTTGAAGGTCTCAATTTTGTCTAAGTAAAGGGGAGTTCGGGTGGAAAAATTTCACCTGGTCTACAACCCAACCACGAATTTGATGGCCAAAAGCAACATATTTTGAATCCGTGTCATCATGAGCTTGTCGTAAGTTTGAGATATCCTTCTTTAAAGTATCCACTTCCAGCTCCAATTCGGCTACTCGGAGGTCAGAATCTTCGAAGTTTTTCTTCAGAATTTTTTGTTCATCAGTAAGCACTTGGTGATCTTGTTTAAGCACAGTAAGCTCTTCATTCAGCTTTTTCCTCAAATCTTCGGATTTTGTGAGTTTGAGTTGAGTGTCTTGTGATACCAACTCGGTTGTTTCAGCTTTTTTGAGTAGACGAATTTGTTCCACCTGGAAGTTGGTTTTTAAAAGCTGTAAGTCTTTAAGCTTAGACTGAAGTTGCTGGCATTCAGCTAGAGCCAGGAGGGCCATTTCGTAATAATGAGCTTCTCGGAGGGAATGATCTCGGATGTCAATAAATTTTTGGATGAGTTGGTCCAAAGAAAATTTATTCCACTTTTCACGCAGCCCAGCCGTAAAGCAAGGTTGTATCTTTTTCATAAAAGATGGGTCAGAAGAAGGAGTAGCAATAACAGAATGGGGAGGAGTTAGAGATTTATCACTTGAAAAATCATGGCTAGCATCAGTAATCCGAACTCGTTTGGGATGACGGATCTCGCCAGAGTCAATCTCCATCTCCATCTCAACAGCGGTACTCGGCATAGAACCCGTTGCAGAAGTAGCTGGCATAGGAGAGCGAGTAAGAGAGAGTTCTTTCTCGCCAGAAACTGAAGATGGAGCATGATGTAACACCCCGTGTATACCCGAAATATTAACATTACATCGTATTAAGCGGTGCTTAATTAAAAAAAATGCGGAATATTCTTTTTCTTTCCAATTATGACGTCATTATCAATTACCGACTTGATTACTTAATCAAGTTCATAAAATATCACCTGTATGTAAATTGCAACAAAAAATCTACTGAAATACCTCAATATATAAATAAAGTGTGTATCTACATCACGGTATTACATATCGTAATCCGGACAATATCCTGATACATTATTACAACACCAAAAGACTCAAGACATAATCAAGACATAACAATACTATGTGTCATGAACAATCCCCATGCTCACCAAATAAACATAGTAAACAACCAGTCTCAACATAAAACTCCATGAACATAACTGAAGCTATAAGCATATAAACAGCATGCAAATCCAGCATCCAATCATGGCAGCATAATATAACAGCAATCTAACTCAGCTCCGGCCTCCTGCCGCCTGAGGTCTCAACATTACCTGACCCTGAAATAAGCTTTCCCCAAACGTGGGGTGAGATCTCTAAACTAGAAATCTCAGTAAGACAAGGGGTCCTCAAGGATCTTCCACCCCAAGCTCACTTACATGTGCAATATAAGTTCAAAAAGCATTTATATCATTATCGGTTCCAAAACTATGTAGTGCAACATATATCTATGGCATGTGTGTAATCACTATCTACTGGCCAGAGAAATGTAGGAATACGTCTATTCCCTACATGTAGTACAAGGAACACCGCTTGCACCTCACCCACAACCTCACCCTCTTGTATGTTCTACATACTCAGGCTTACCGTATAGGTGGAACACCTCCATGCATATCAACAAGGCACTAACATACAATAGCTCAACAGCATTTCCAAAACATCAAAAGCATGTAACACAACATGCATATACCATATCCCC